CCACGTCAGCTGGTCAACCGAAGCCATCGCGTCATCCATGGCCTGGTCCCCCTAGAACGTAAGGGTTTTTGGTACGTCCGATATCTCTTCGCCATCCCTGCTTTGTTTACTACCGCCCCGGTGGGGCAGTGATGAGCTCAGCGTGTAACGGAGTCTTTGCAGGAAACCCAGCAGAAAGCCCCTCTGTGTGTTACATGGAGGGCAAAATCTTAAGAGCACATGCCCTCCACGGCTTTTGGAGGTGTTGGAACATTAACACAGGGATCCATTAACCACCTTCTTGTGTGATGGCACCGCGGCCTTTGTAAACGTATCACTGCTAGACCTGCCTGGAGCTGTGCGGGAGTGCATATAAACCTAACTCGACCAGCTCGCTGCCCGTCAATCTGTACAGGCTCTCTGGGCGGCGGAGTGGCTGCAAACCCATGCTGACCCCGCTGCCTTCAAGCCAGGCTGGACGTACATGCTAGAGGCGGTGTACGGCAACAACACGGTCATAGTGCCGTACACCTTTGCTGGCCTGGTGTTGCTGGGAGCCACTGACCCGCGGGGGGCTGAGGTCCCCCTGGCAGAGCTGCCCCGACTGGCGGCAGAGCTACGGGTCACGACAGCAGTGCCGTACATCACCGGTCCGCTTTCCCAGCTGCTCAAAAATCTACCCGGTTCGAGGCCTGGCGACCAGAGCATGGCCACGTACAACAGTGGTGACACGCCGCCGCCGGCACCGGCCTTCGAGGGCTGGATCATCGCCACGGCGGACGGGGGAACTCCACGGCAGAAGCTCGTCCAGCTGTCGTACAAGCGGGCCTGCCTAGCTGGGAAGCTGCTTCATCCGCTTTCTGTGTGGGACCTTATTCGCAACGAAGGGGCCAGCCGTAAGTCCCTCTTCCTGGGCCTGCCAGTACATTTTCAGAGGGAGCTGGCAGCGATACTGGAGGCGCTGGAGGCCGGCTACCAGCGCGCAGGAAATCAGTTGCTGCTGCTGCTGGAACGACACCGGGGGCCGCAGCAGGGACAACCGCAGCGGCAGGAGCCGCCGCCGCCGCCACACCGAGCTCAAGGCGCAAGCAGGTCTCAGGAAACAGAGGGCCCAGGAAATTGCGGCAGGCCACGCGGCATGGAATCCGCATCAGCAACTGGCACGGCTGCAGGGACGCGGGCGCTGCCGGCTGCAGTGGTCCTACCCACGGAGCAGTTCGCGGCACTCCAGTTGGAGCAGGACGAGGCGGGGTTACCTGCGGCGGTGGCGGATGAAGGGGATGAGCTTGAGGCGCTGATGAGGGCAGTGCGCCAGGAGCAGGCGGCGGCGCGTTCAGGGAGCGTGACCAGCAACTGCGGTCTCCCAGGCAGCGGCGGTGGAAACGGTGATGGCTGCACCCACGATGTTGAACAGTTTCACAGCAGGCCCGCATTCCGGCGCGCCCTGAAGTACGCTGTTGCCCATGGTCATACACCATGGCCGCTCGACAATGAAGGTGACCTACTGGCGCTCAGCATGTATTATGAACACGCCGCCAGGACTGCCCCGCTGCTCCGCGCCCTCCTGCTAGATTGTGTGCGGCCGGCTGAGGACGGCTCGCTGCCAGGCTACACGCCCTCCCCCGCCTTCACGCAGACCTGGGCCAAGGGCTGGACTCAGGGCCCCTCCGAGGGCCGCCTGGCGCCCGCACCGCCGGCCCTGCTGCACGCCATGCTGCAGGATGATGTTCTGGAGCGGTGCCTGGCACCACTGTCCGGTCGGGATCTGGTGGCCGCCTTGCTGGTGTGCGGCAGGTGGCGCCGAGTGCTGGAGGGGGCGACGCAACCGGAGCCGCTGGCCGCCAGGCTGGAGGCGGGAAGGAACGACCACAACTTTGGAGAAATCTTTTGGGAGTCTGCCTGCCGCATGGGAGGAGTATGTAGATAATTCGTACGGCTCGCACTAGATATCTCCGGTTTGGGAAGAGACGCCGTTTGCGGGATGCCGGGGAAAGCTCTGCCGCACTCCTGCTTGCTCGGCCATCACTATACGCTATCACATCACACCCATTTTTGCGGATTGTGTCAGACAAGTTGTCATGTTCACGGGAGCGGCCGCCGACGGACGATTAGCTATCACCTGTCTTGCTTCTTTGATTTTAGTTTCTTTTCTTTGGGGACTTTAGGGGCGCAGGTCTCATCTGGTAACAACGTGCAGGTTCCTGTCAGTAACTGCTGGTGGGCCTTCTGGTGGGGCTTTCGGCAATTCGGGAGCCTATTGGCAAATTCCCCAGTGGTTGTGGGTTTCTGACCCTACCCTTTGGGTTTGCTTTTGGCTGTCTAGGCGACACTTGCGTTGCCTGGCCTGGGTGGGTGTCTTGTTTGCCCTGATCGCCTCAGGTGCAGTAATGCACGGCCAGCTGGCTTGCTGACTTTACTCTTCGTGGGTCTGGAGCCCACTGTAACCACACACACACATTATACAACAACTTGTACCCTTGCTCCATATCTCCATGGCTCCATGGCTGCGCTGAAAGCATGTGGTTTGTGGTTTCGCGCGTTGTTGTAAGATGCAGCCGCTGTGCAGCTCGGCGGCCAACATGACGATAAAATGCCGTGGTCATATTGTGCATGCTTAAGTTGGCGATCGGTGGTGCTGTACCATAGATAGAATCTTTCTTAACTGCGCTTTCAGATAGATGGTGTGTTACCACCACCATCCGCATTCATGATGTAGAGAAACCAATTCTATACATATAGCAATAAAGCTCACCGCTTGGGACAGCATGGAACATCCTTAGCCCGGTGCATGTATAACGGACGGGGAGGTTGTACATTGAGCTGCGCAGTTTTTTTCCGGACAATTGGAGATAATTATCATGCTTTTAAATGTTTCCCTTGGCTCCAGCTCATTTCTATCATGATGGCATGTCGGTGACCAGGTGGTCTTGGGGGGGATGTGCGGGGTCGTGGGGCTGCCGCCCCCATTCCCCGCACTTTCCCCTTGTTCTTGGAAAGTTTTAGGCGAACATTTTTATCAGCTGGCATTAGCAAGCATGTGGGATGTGTGCCTTTTCCAATGATTGAAACGGTTTATTTCCTTGCATTGGTCGTACAGTGCAAATTGCCCAAACATTGCTAGTCGTTGCAACAGTAAAGTATAAGCAATCGACGAAGTGAAAGGAGAATGTCACTATGGAGAATTATGCATCTAAATTTGTGATTACAGTCGAGTTAAGCCGTTAGTCCCCCCCCATTTAAACTGGCAAGAGTTCCTTTTTTCGGCCCACTATCACTTTTGGTAGTGTTATTCTGATGGCACATGCATGGCGAAATGGATGATCCTGATGGGTTGTTCGGTGGGGGTGTTTGGTGGTTGTGTGGTTTAAACGTGTAAAGTGGATGTAGGGTTGATGATGGGCCCCTTGGCATTTACATGAATCTGCAAATTTGTGCATAAGTTGGATAACCCGATTATTAGATTTTAGAAATGAAGAAATGTATTAATGCTAATAACAATCACTAATTGGCAAAGCCCGCAGTGCCCATTCTTTCTCAGGGCGAGCAGCCCACAGTGAAACAACCCACCACCAACATCTTTGCACCGAATTTTGTAGCAAGAAATGCAAGGATGCCAGGAACTAATTGTTGTGATCTGGAGCATCACAACAGAACCGTCTCTTGAAAAAACATGAACAAGCTGTGTCGGCTTCCTCGAAGCCGGAAAAAGGGCGGGGGCTCCCTGCATCCATACAGGCGGGTAGCTAGGGCGGCACGTGTGACAATTAATGGGTAGTGTCAACGTGGTGGAAGCTGTGCTTGTTGCAACAGTGCTGATGCTGTGGGAGGTATGCTTGTCAGAGCACGGGAGGCAGGAAGCCGGGGCTCATAACCTGTTGAACAGACGGTGTCTCTCTGGAACCTAGCAGACACGGCTAAAAGTCATTGGCCGTTGCATGCAATCTGGAGGTCCGCGACCTGCCACCGGCAGCCCCTTGCTTGGCCGTAAACGTATGAGTCTGAGGTGCCGTTACCGGCACACAGCAGGGGCTCGGCCGCCAAGTCCGTGGTCCAGGCCGGCTGCTCAACACTCAGCAGGCACAATCGCAGCTTGCCAGCCTTCAGCCTGTCGGCTTTGCGATCTGGTGCCGCAGTCCTAACGCACACGGAAAACAACACTGCACAGCACCGTATGCACTGCCTACGTTGCCCCTTCAGGCATTAACCTGCCCATTCGGGCGCCTGCCCACGCGCCCTTGGCGCCCTCCTAGCTCGACACACTTCCCCTAAGCCCTCAGCATTTTTTCCACTTCCCCCTCGCACGGTGCTCTGGCGATCTAAGTGACGCCCAGCACCGTGCGGCAGTGCACGAACTTGATTTCGCCCAGTGCCTTGGTGAGAATGTCAGACACCATGTTGTTGGTGGTGCAATAGCTGAGCTTAATCTCATCGTGCGTGGCCGTTTCACGCACGATGTGATGGTGCACGTCGATGTGCTTGGAGCGCACCAACGTGATGGGGTTGTTGCCGAGGCTGAGCGCGCCTTGTGAATCCAGCTGGGTGTTGACGGCGCCGGGTGACAGGTCCAGGTCGCCCACCAGCTTGCACAGCCACATAGTGCCTCGCGCACGGCTGCCGCGGCGGCCTGGTACTCGGCCTCCACGGACGAGGCAGCCATGGTGCACTGCAACTGGCTGCTTCAGCTGACCGCTGCACTGCCGAGCAAGAATGTGTAGCCCGTGGTGGACCGGTGGGTGGCTGGGTCGCCGGCCCAGTCCGCATCACTGTACCCGCCGAAGTTGCTGGTGTTGCTGCCACTGCTGTCGCCACGGTACCGCAGCCCTCCCAGCACGAGCCCCATGTGGGCCTTGGTGGGGGGCCGCGGGCATGTGCGGGTTTGGTGTTTGATGCTATCCTTGATGATCTGTGGCGATGTCTGAATTAGCCGGGGGAAAACTTTACTGCGGCACCCAGGGCACATCAAGAAGGCAGTGCGCCTGTACGGCAACCATTTGAAGATTCGGACTTCAAATTTCACAGGTAAGCGAGGCTGTCCCTCTTGGCTCCCGCGCGTTGCTATCTCCGTAGCAGGCGCCGTCTGCGTGTGGGTTATTGACACTGCTGTAACCCTGAGTCAGAGCTATCTGGATTCTTTGTAAATTCTCCTCTTAGGCGACGCGGGCGCCACCTAGGGTATCCATTAAATGCCCTTAGGTGCCACCGCCCGGTGTCTGACCTTCAACACATACTTGACCACTTGCATGTGATGGTGGTGAGTGATGTGTTAGTAGTGCCCTCTCATCTTGCAGACGACGGGTTGGGGCACGTGCGACGCTTTGAATGGGTCGTGGTGCTGAGCAGCAAACAGCAGGCCCAAAACATAGGACGGGAAGTGCTGCTCATCATGAGCTCCGTGCCAAGGGCCTTATGGGAGCCCCGATGCGGTGGTATAGCGGGGGAGGCCAGAAACTCGCCGGTGTTTTGCCTCACATGCGCCTGGTTCACGAAATAGACGTGCACAAGCAGTAAAGCTACTTGAGCTGCTTATGTGTGTGTGGTTCATCAATGATTCGGTCCCTTTTTGATACCGGCCCAGGCCCGGTCCCTCCACTGTGGCCCAGTTGTATCCGGACATCAGCCCAGTGGTGGCCATGACGCCGAATAAGATAAGGCCCAGAAAGGCGGCTCGGACCTGGCCCAACCGGTCTGAGGTCGTCGTGGGACACGAGAGCAAGGGTGCGTGCGTGTGTTGGGGGGGATGGGGAGGGGAGGGGGGCACAGCGCGGTTGCCGAGTTTGGTGGGTGGGTTGTGGGGCGGCCGGTCATATCTCTCCAGTCATGCGATGACGCCAGTGAGGAGTTCGGAGGAAGGTTGGAGCTTTCGAGTGGGGTTGGATTCCCTGAACTGGAAGGGGGATGGCGGGAGCCACGTGTAGACATACCCAGCTGCTGCGGCCGCTGGATGCGGGGATATCGGGGGGAAAAAGGCGACACGCACAACCCATGCTGCACTGAACTATGGTTCAGTTGCCTAGCGTGCGGGAATTACCAGGTTTTCGATATCATATCGCTACACGTAGAAGAACCAACCGTGGCAAGCATAACTTACGCATACATATCGATTCATAGAAGACTTTACCAAATTGGGTTTTTAGGTGAAGGCAAAAGCCCTACAAAGATTGTTGATATGCGCCTTTAGAGAGCCGTGCTCGCTGATCTCTTTAGTAAAAGGCGAAAGAGATATGACAATCGTGAATGGCTCAACGCTACTTTGTCACGAAGAAGCAGCCGATAATATCCCACCGTAACGGCCGTTACTGTCGTGATCACGCCACCGATGGTGGGTCATGGCTGATCTGTCTCTGCAGATGTCGGGTGACTGGATGAGGAGGGGGCTGGGTAGCAGGATCAAAATATCACCGTCGGTTGTACGGTGGAATCAACTTTCAATAAATATAGTCCATGGCCTCCCGGCTTTGACGGAACCCCCCCGCACTCGTGCGGCAATTGTAACTTGTGTCATACATGTCGAACAGCATTTGATTTAAGGAGATGGCTCGGAGAAACCCAGGAGCTGTTGGAACGATGGCACAGAAACCCTGGCGCAGAGGACGTGGAGTTAATGTGACGTGCAATGGATATCGTGTACTTGTGCTCCACTGGGAATTGCTTTACACATCATCACGGCTGCTTCGGTGTCTGGCAACGCCATTTCGCAAAGCGCAGGAATGGAATGCGGGTTTGGTGTTTGATGCTATCCCTGTTAATCTGTGGAGATGTCTGAATTAGCCGGGGGAAACCTTTACTGCGGCTCCCAGGGCACATCAAGAAGGCAGTGCGCCTGTAGGGCAACCATTTGAAGATTCGGACTTCAAATTTCACAGGGAAGCGAGGCTGTCCCTCTTGGCTCCTGCGCATTGCTATCTCCGTAGCAGGCGCCGTCTGCGTGTGGGTTATTGACACTGCTGTAACCCTGAGTCAGAGCTATCTGGATTCTTTTGTAAATTCTCCTCTTAGGCGACGCGGGCGCCACCTAGGGTATCCATTAAATGCCCTTAGTGCCACCGGCCCGTGTTTGACCTTGAATCTTATACTTGACCACGTGCATCTGATGGCGGCGAGTGATGTATTAGTAGTGGCCTCCCATCTTGCAGACGACGGGTTGGGGCACGTGCGACGCTTTGGATGGGTCATGGTGCTGAGCAGCAAACAGCAGACCCAAAACATAGGGCGGGAAGTGCTGCTCATCATGAGCCATCAACATCCACATCGACATCCACATCGACATCCACATCGACATCGACATCGACATCCTACGCAGGCCTGGTCCGGCTGCAACCACGTTCCTGTGGATTGATCCGCGGGTCACATCACATCACGAACTCCCGTGCACCTCGAGGAAATCTGCCTCCAAGCACCTTACAATTCAAACATCACGTCGTGTGTTGGACCTACGCCTAAGCCCGGTTAAGGCAGCGCGTGGAAGTATTGCGCTCGAAGCGGCGCAAAGGAACCGGAACCAGCACCTAGCTGCTGGTGGAAGGAGCCGCTTTGATTCAGGGCTCCAGTGTAAACATTGATGTACATATTCGATAAGACCGACACCTCCTAAATGCCTTGGACATCGAAGTGGAACGAACTGATCACGCGAAGCCCCTCGCGCCTGCAACTGTTTGCCGTATCGCGGTGAGGGGGTAGATGGACCAATAGTTCAGACCTCTACCCGGAGAAACTGCGAATTTTAATGACGGGACCATTGTTTCAAATCCCGAATGTGCGGTTGGCCCAACTCCCGAGGCAATTGCACCCGTGACAGGGCCCGACAGGCCAACCGACGCCAACTGGCACAACAACCTAGGCCACAAAGCCGCATAGCCTTCAGTGATCTCAAGAATCAAAGGGTGTCAGATCTGACGGTAGTTGCACTCGTGGAATATATACATCCACAGGTAACCTTGTCGACGACACTGCCCAGTCCCAGACCTCGTGCACGTGTCCGGGATGTGCTCTTCGGGTCTCACACAAGCGGCTTACGTCCCATAAACGCCGCAAGTCCTGTCTACGTGCCTAGCTCATCTCCCATCATCCGGTCTAGGGTGTCTTATTTAGCTTATTCGACCTCGACCAACAGCCCTCGGTCCTGCCGCCTAACCGCGATCACGCTCCACACGGCTCGTGCAGCTGTCAGTTGCATGTATGGTCCCGCCCCACCTGCGGTGGCAGCCATCTGCCTTCTCACGACAGCGCTTCATGGTTAAAATAACCTCCGAGTCTGACTTGTGAAGTGGGCATTGATGTATGTTGTTACAGGGTGGTTAACTTCGCCAGCGGCCCCCTTTCCCGGGGCAGTCCCTGCTCTCCCCTGCTAGAGGGGCACCCTAATCCGTCACCCCATCCGACTTCAGAATGTATTCGTTGGGTTCGGCAACTCACCACCAGCATCCAACCAAATCTAGCGGATCAACGGCGCATCAACTTAGTTCCTGGTCAGCTCGTAAGTTGATATTATCACGTCCTACACCGTCCATATGATGGGGGGCCACCTCCCATTTCATCACTCCTCAAACACCCGAGGAGCCGGCAGGCGGATTTGAACCTAGGTCGACTGGGTCGACTGGGAGCAGAAGTCAGGCCTTAACCTCTGCCAGCCGCCTGCCTATATGCCTGCATTGATGTATGTATCTTGTACATCTAGGATCTAGCCGACCAAGCTCACCCTCAGCCGTTGCGGGGCCAACCTGCCTAATAAGAATATATTGCATTGATGGACACTCCGACGCGCGGCGGTGTGGTCCTACTGCTTGGTGCGCCGGGTGTGGGCAAGTCAACCCTCGGCCGCTACCTGCAACACCGCCATCCCACAACAACCCGCTTCCTGTCCGTGGGGGACGAGCTCCGTGCCAAGGGGCTTGTGGGCGCCCGGCAGAGGCCCGGGGCGGAGGTACAGCGGGAGGTACGGCGGCTGGCGAGGGAGCTGCTGCAGCGGGAAATCGCCGAGTGGGCTGCGGCCAGCAACGCCAGGTCAGAAACCCGTCGGTGTTTTGCCCCGAACGCGCCTGGTTCACGAAATAGACGAGCACAAGCAGTAAAGCTACTTGAGCTGCTTCTGTGTGTGTGTTTGACATTTATTTCTCGGTCCCTTTTTGACACCGGCCCAGGCCTGGTCCCTCCACTGCTCCTCATCGCGCGGCAGCACCGATATTGGTCCTGGAGGCCGTTAAAGAGGTGGAGGACGCGTTCACTGTGGTGAAGCTACTGCGGGAGGCTGACGTGCCGCTGTTACAGGTGGGGTTTACGGGGGGTCGGGGTTGCTGTGACTGGGTTTAGGATTGGGACATCATTACCCTTGCATTGGGGCATTGGGGCGCACAAGGCTTTGGGCAATTCCTTGGACACCCCATCTTAATCCAGAATGGTGATGGCAATGAGCGAGCAGATTCATAATCCAGGGCGGCGCTTGCACGAGATTACGTGGGGGATTGAGAAAACGAGTGAGCATCAAATGCGGCGTGCTTGCAAGCGGAGTGTTTGCAAGATTATGTTCCTCCAGCCGTAGACCTGCCGTTACTTGGTTAATGAAACAGCCTAACTGCCGCCCTCGAACACCTTTCCTGGTTACTGGTGATTCCAGGGCAATAGTCTCCTCTGTCTCGACGACTGGCACCATCACCATTTCGGAGCTCACTCCCACTTCCTTTTACTACAGCATGTTGTACTACAGCCCGCTCCCCTGACGGCGGCCTCCCACACCGGTGCTGCAGGCGCTGTACCTGCCCGGGTGCATAGTAGGCAACAATACCCTGTGCAGCTTCATGGCCCGCTCCGCCAGGAAAAAGCAATGCTCCGCCCAGCGAGACAAGGAGCGGTGTGTGGCGGAGCGGCAGGGCAAGTGGGTCGCCAACGCGGGCCGCGTCATCGAGTTCTTCTCCGCCCTGGGTGTCCTCACGGAGGTATCCAGCCCTGGGTACGGCAACACCGGGCTAGCAGAGCTGGGCTACAGGGCTGGACCCACATATGCCGGCAAGGACGACCCCAGCGACGGCGCCAACAGTCCAGGCCACTCGGTAAGGCAACGAGGCACGGATTTCCTCCGAGCCAGTCTTACAGCAGCCTGTACCGCTGCAGAGCCCCCCGAGTGGCTGCGGGTCACAGGTTGGCAGCTACCGTGGGATCTGGAAGTCACCCCCCTGGAGTGCGTCACCTCGCGGCGACTGGTCACCAGTGCAGAGGAGCGGAACTGGGTGCTAGCAGAGGCGAGGTCCGTGTCTGGAGGACTGCGTGTTTTTGACAGCGACTTTCGCGATGGTGATAAGGTCTTCAGTGCACCGTCGTTGTCGGTGCCGACAGCCTCCGTGTCCACAGCCGAGGATGTGCGGTGGGTCAGCTGGCCGGGTCGCTATTCAGTGTCCCGCAAATGTGATGGCACGAGGCACCTGCTGCTGGCGGTGAAGCTGCCGCAGCCACAGCCGCCATTACCGAGGCCGGAACAGCAGCTGAAAACGGCGGTATTGAAGGAGGAGCCTGGGGCCGCGGCAGTCCATTGTAGTTGTGGTGACGGCAGTGGCGGCGGTCCGGCCGGCGATGATGGTGTCGGTGAGGGCGGGGGCAGTGAAGGGGCCAGCGGCGGGCCCTGTGGTACGACAGCATCAGCAGAGGCATCTGTCGTATATCTCCTAAACAGGGCGGGTGCATTGTATGCATTCCCTGCCATGACATCAATCAACGGCGGCGCCAGGGTTGCTGCTGCTGCTGCTCCAGGCGCAGCCAGCACACGTTCCCCATCGTTGCAGTCGCCTGGCCCAGCTTTACTGCCCGGATCAGTGCTGGATGGTGAGCTTGTGTGGCTGGGCGGTCGCGGCTTCTTCCTGGCCTTTGATGCGCTATGTGTGGGCGGTGAGCCGCTGTGGCAGCTGCCGCTGAGGGAGCGGCTGGCAGCCCTGGAGCAGCGGTTGGGGCTGACGGAGGCCGAGGAGTCGTTGGCGTTACAGCAGGCAGCTGCAGCTGCAGCCAGTACTGCAGCTGCTGCTACCGCTTTAAATGCTGCAGCCATCGCAACTGCTACAGCTAAATCGCGATCCTACTTAGCCAGCGCGGCCGCCATCGACAGCGGAAACCCACCGCGACTCCTGCTCAAGAAGCAGCAAGCCGCGCCGCTAGGCTCTGACACGCTAACCATCCTTCGTAAGCGCCACGTACCGGTGTCGTACGAAGCCTTGCGGGATCTGGGCCGCGGTAGCACCTGTCCATACCCGACCGACGGTCTGGTTTTCACACCATACAGCATGCCGTACGTGCTCGGCATGGCCGAGCTGCTGTACAAGTGGCAGCCCCAGGGCAGTGTTGCCGTCGACATAATCGGCAGTGACCTATCTATGGAAAACCTGGCATGGCGCGGCTGCAAGGAGTTGGTTTACGAGTGCTTATGGCAGCAAAGACCTGAGCGCGATCGCGTCAGCCGGTTAATCATGCCAGTGTCTGTCCGCTGGGACAAGGTGTACGGCAACTCCCAGCGGGCAATCGAGGCTCTAAAGGCGGGCTCGGGGGACCTATCCCTGGCCTCGCTTCTTACGCACCTTCACGAGGAACGGGGGGTGTCTGCTACTGCTGCTGCTGCTGTTGCTGCTGATGGTGGAGGTGAAAGAGGTGGCCGCAGCAGCAGTAGCTGCACGACATCTGCGGCCTGTACTGCACCGTTGACGCGTCTGTTAGCGCCGCCTGAGCTGCACCCCGCACGGACGTTGCCGTACGCGGAGCTGTACGACAGGGTGATGGCGGCTGTGACATCGGGGTGTGTAGAGCGCACTGTGGAGCCAGAGAGCGGCCTGGAGATCTTTAACTACCGGTGTGTGTTGGGGGCCCTAAGGAGGATGGCCACAGTAGGATGGCCCGATGCCATACCTCCGCACCGTAACTGCCGCCTGCATGGCATGGCTCTGTCACGACATTTTAGCGTCACGTCCTGGTAGCAGTTGATGCCTTGCCTTGCCTTGCCTTGCCTTGCCTTGCCTTGCCTTGCCTTGCCTTGCCTTGCCTTGCCTTGCCTTGCCTTGCCTTGCCTTGCCTTGCCTTGCCTTGCCTTGCCTTGCCTTGCCTTGCCTTGCCTTGCCTTGCCTTGCCTTGCCTTGCCTTGCCTTGCCTTGCCTTGCCTTGCCTTGCCTCGCCCATATGTGCTTACTGAATCCCCTGAACGCCCTCCACCCACTCAGCTGAAAAGGGATCCGCTTCCTTGGCATCTCGTGCGAGTGCTTTTTGTCTGGTGGTGTTACACCCCCTGTGTGATGTGCGGCGCGTGAAGGGTGTTGCTGTAAGCTCCCTCCGTCCTACCTTCCAGTTTTCCTATCGTCTTAGACTGATCTCTCGGTCCTGCATTAAACCTCGCAGACTATGGCATCTGCCGCCTCCCCTTTTCCCCCTCCTTTTCGGTAGGTCGGGTGCGGTCCTGGGCTCCGTGGAGGCCATGTGCCGAGGACTTGTGCTGCACCCCCCCTCGAACACAGTGGTGGCTGCTCCCTTCGTCAAATTTTCTGAAGTGCCGCCCCTGCACTTGCGCGGGGTTGCGGTGCATAGCCAGGCCGGGGTAACGGAGGCTCATCCCAGGCCCCGGCCGGATTACTGGCGGCGGGCCTATAGAGAGCGGTTGCGGTTGCCTGCACGGACGTTACTGCCGTACGGGTATAACCTGGCAGGGCTGGATGGCTGGGGCCAGGAGCCCATGGTCGCGCAGGTCAAGGTGGATGGGTCGCTGGTTCTGGCATTTAAGTGGGCCGGCCAGCTGCGTACGGCAACTCGGCGTCGAATGGATTCGGAGCAGGTAAGAGATCCGCTTAGCGCGTTGTGGCGGAAGGATTGTGTGTGTGTGTGTGTGTGTGGTGTGTGTGTGTATGCGTGTGTGTGATATGTGTGTATATGTGTGTGTGTATTTTGCACCTTGAGTTGCATTACCCACCAAAGGTATAACGAGCCCATACGAGCCTGAGGCCCAAGGGCTGTCCAAAATGGATAAAACACAAAAGAGGAACTATTATCCTAACCCTCAAGACGAGAAAAAAAGAAAAGAAAAAAATGCAAACTAGTTGCGCTGCACAGACTGCTAGGCCATAGCGGCGCGCCTACCTGCTATTTCTGGCCCTCCTTAGCCAGGCACTGGGGATGAGGTTCCCCAACTTCAGCTGGTCAACCGAAGCCATCGCGTCATCCGTGGCTTGGTCCCCCTATATAGGTTTCGGTACTTCCGATATCTCTTCTCCATCCCTGCTTTGTTTACTACCGCCCCGGTGGGGCAGTGATGAGCTCAGCGTGTAACGGAGTCTTTGCAGGAAACCCAGCAGAAAGCCCCTCTGTGTGTTACATGGAGGGCAAAATCTCAAGACACATGCTCTTCGCCCTCCACGGCTTTTGGAGGTGTTGGAACATTAACACAGGGATCCATTAACCACATTCTTGTGTGCATGGCACCGTGGCCTTTGTTAACGTATCACTGCTAGACCTGCCTGGAGCTGTGCGGGAGCGCTGCACCGTGCATGTAAACCTAACTCGACCAGCTCGCTGCCCGTCAATCTGTACAGGCTCTCTGGGCGGCGGAGTGGCTGCAAACCCATGCTGACCCCGCTGCCTTCAAGCCAGGCTGGACGTACATGCTAGAGGCGGTGTACGGCAACAACACGGTCATAGTGCCGTACACCTTTGATGGCCTGGTGTTGCTGGGAGCCACTGACCCGCGGGGCGCTGAGGTCCCCCTGGCAGAGCTGCCCCGACTGGCGGCAGAGCTACGGGTCACGACAGCAGTGCCGTACATCACCGGTCCGCTTTCCCAGCTGCTCACAAATCTACCCGGTTTAAGGCCTCACGACCAGGGCACGGCCACGTACAACAGTGGTGACACGCCGCCACCGGCACCGGCCTTCGAGGGCTGGATCATCGCCACGGCGGACGGGGGAACTCCACGGCAGAAGCTCGTCCAGCTGTCGTACAAGCGGGCCTGCCTAGCTGGGAAGCTGCTTCATCCGCTTTCTGTGTGGGACCTTATTCGCAACGGAGGGGCCAGCCGTAAGTCCCTCTTCCTGGGCCTGCCAGTACATTTTCAGAGGGAGCTGGCAGCGATACTGGAGGCGCTGGAGGCCGGCTACCAGCGCGCAAGAAATCAGCTGCTGCTGCTGCTGGAACGACACCGGGGGCCGCAGCAGGGACAACCACAGCGGCAGGAGCCGCCGCCGCCGCCGCACCGAGCCCAAGGCGCAAGCAGGTCTCAGGGAACAAAGTTCTCAGGAAATGGCGGCAGGCCACGCGGCATGGAATCCGCATCAGCAACTGGCACGGCTGCAGGGACGCGGGCGCTGCCGGCTGCAGTG